AATGACTTTAATGGAGCCTGAATTTCACCTCGTATTTCTTCACCACAGTTCCGTCTGCCAGTCCCCACAGACTTGATATTCTGTGTCCTACCACATAAGTGAACAAATGCTGAGTACAATGTTTTCTGCCTCAGTGGCAATAAAATTGCAACACACTTAATTTGATGTAAATTCTTATTCTTTCATTTCAGGCCTGTTCCTTGTAATACTGCATCTTGGCTGTGCATTCAAAATAAGGGCTGGGAGGAGGAGAGGGAGAGATGTGCATTTGCTATTAAATTTCATTGTTACTTGGCAATTGTTACTGGATTTCATTACAGCACATTCATTATTTAACAGGTAATATTCCCTGAATCCTCCTTGACATTTTCTTATTTTTGTATAATTACTGTTCAAAAACAACCAGGGCAAGCCTAGAATTTTAAGGTGTGAGTTGTAACTCACTTTTGGAAGACAAAACAAGAAGAGGCTTCATGCAACAATGTCCAACATTTGTTTGGTGAAATCAACAGAAAAAGAAAGCAGCTCATCCTAAAAAAGAAATACTTTATACACAGAAGAAACACCAGCCTCACCTCAGATCTTTGATTTGTTCCCTTCACATTAAACTCAATGGAGCTTTGAAATTTACAGAACTTGTCAAAAGTGAAAGTAACTTAAATTTCTTACGGGTACTCTTCTCTCTCTCACATACATACACACACATTGTGGGAGGTATTCAGGGTAGGGAGTTGTGGTGGGTGGGGTTAGGGTGAGGATGTGGGGGGGGGGTGCAAGAGTCAGGGCAGGAGCTGGGAATGTGGAGGCAAGGGAGCTATTTAGGGAGAGTGTGGGGGGCTCAAGCCTTCCCCCAATATTCTCGCTAGGATGCTGCTTTCTGTTCCCTTTCCTCACTCTCAGGGAGTGAGAGGGAAGCTCACAGCATGGGACACTCACAGCTCTGCCCCCTCCCGAGCCAGCAGAGAGAGAAACATACATCTGGGCTGTGTCAAGACTGGCATGATTTTGCGGAAATACTTTTAACGGAAAAGTTTTTCCCTTACAAGTATTTCTGCAAAAGAGCATCTAGATTGGCAAGGATGCTTTTGCGCAAAAAGTGCTTTTGTGCAAAAGCATCCGTGCCAATCTAGATGCGTTTTTGCGCAAGAAAGCTCCGATGGCCATTTTAGCCACCGGGCCTTCTTGCGCAAAAAATCAAGGTGCCTGTCTACACTGGCCCTCTTGCGCAAGTATTCTTGCGCAAGAGGGCTTATCCCTGAGCGGGAGCATGAAAGTATTTGCGCAAGAAGCACTGATTTTGTACATTACAAAGTCAATGCTCTTGTGCAAATTCAAGCGGCCAGTGTAGACAGCTGGCAAGTTTTTGTGCAAAATCAGCCGCTTTTGCACAAAATCTTGCCAGTCTAGATGCACCCATGCTGTGTGTTTTGCAAACAGTATCCCCATATGAATCTCAGGGGGAGGGGTGCTTGAGCACCTCTCCTCTCCCCAAATGGTACCCTGGGGGCTGCCTCATGGTTGGGGCAGTCCTGGATTGGTGGAGGAGTGAACTCCCAGCCTGGTCCTTTAACTATCCTACTTGCTGCTTGGGTCCTCCTGCAGCAGAATGCCCTAACTGGCTGGCTCTTTGTCACCTGAGTAGCTTACTTTCACCTTTGGGACTTGTTCAATATTTTATTTGCTAATGATAAAGTGCTTTTTGTATCTTAACTTTGCATTTGCTTGTTTACAACTATGAGTCAGAGGGCAAAGCACTGATCATTGAAGAAATCTAAAATGCATGTACCAATGAGATGAAAGAGCACCAGCTCTTTGATCTCTCTTTGGCCCTCTTCATTCCATTCGGTTCAGGTGCTCATCTTTTTAAATAGCTAGGCTCCATCTTTTAAAACTTCTAGGAAACATAATTTCTCTTCATGTCACCCATCTCATATTAGTTACAATAAAGTCCTTTTAAATACCTAAAGAAATAAAAGCAGGCATGGAACTGTTTGAAGACCTTCTAGTTACACACAGACAAGAATATTTTATTACTTGTGAACTATTCATCAGCTGTCACTTTTCCTTATCATTCCCCTGCTATATAGCACGTTGTATATGTGATTGCAGTGAGGAATCCAGATAATGCTTTAATTGATACTACCTTCAAAAATATCAAGACTTACAGAAAATACTCTCATTTATTTAAAACTTGTAAAGCTACATGAAAGATATGAGAATTATTTATGCTGAAAATAATGAGCTACTATATATTAATGTATTGGGACAGAGTCTGTTTTCAGTTACCACCAGAGTAATGCACATATTTTGAACTGTGACTAGATAGTTGACTCACAGATCTTATAAACATGGATACATATTGGTTGGTTCAGGCTACTTAATCACTTCAGTGTCTATCCTTGTGTCTGAAAAAATATTTCCATTTTAGGGTATGTCTACACTGCACTGTTATTTCAAAATAACAATGTGAGTGTCTAAAGCCATTCCATTGTTTCAAAATAGTTTTGAAACAATGGAAGGCTTATTCTGAAATCTATAAACCTCATTCTGCAAGGAATAATGCCTATTCTGAAATAGCTATTTTGAAATAAGGAGTGTGTACACGCTCCATTATTGCTATTTTGAAAAAAAGCCCCTCACCAGGGCCATTCTGAGTTATTCCTCCTCAGTGCCTCCTGGGGCTCTAAATCGAGATAGCACGTCCACATTAGGGAAGCCTGCCTTAGACTAATTTTGAGACTTCCCTGCAGCGTGGGATGTGCTATTTCAAAATAAGCTATTTTGGAATAACTATTCCGGAATAGTTTATTTTGAAATAACTGTGCAGTGTTGACATACCCCTACGTATGTTTAATGACACTGAAAAAAACCACCCTGGAATATAGATAATGAACAATGACATGTGTATCTGTTAATGCTATTAGCACTATACATAAAATGATTCATAGAACTGCAACCTGTTTTGGCAGCAGCTGTTTCAGTGAAAGATGCATAATAATTTTGCCTGTCTTCATGCTTTGCTTTAAATTCCAGTGGGCTGTTGATTTGCAAGAATAAATGAAAGTGCTGCAGAAAGAGTTTCATTCTGATTATCAAAATTCAATACAAAAATGAAAGAACTTAATTTTCTTTCCATTTGAAACATTCTGTGAATACACCACTTCAGAATTTGGCTGGTCCCTTCATGGCTTAATATGGAGAAGCAACTTGGAAAGCTAGTAGATGTGTGAGGGATCATCAAAGAAGTTTTTCCTCATTATATTTCATCATTTGGTATGCCAATGAACTGTTCAGCCTTGGTAAACATTTTTTGGAGAGAAAGAAAACCAGGAAAATGCCCCATTTTGCTTTTATGTATCTGTTTGTTCCAAAGCACTTAACCTCCCCAGTCATTGTGCTTCCTATGAGACATGTCTCTATTTCCCTAAAAGAAATTTCTGGACATTTCTAACTTTTACTCGTAAGCAGAGTGTTCCCAGTTACAACTGCACCTTGTCTCTTGTGTCTCTCCAGAAGACTTGACTCTTTTTAGGTGGTCTACAAAAACAAAATATGGAAACTATTAGATTAAGATGAAAGGGTAATGGGAAAAAGCCAAATTGTAACTCCTGCTTCTGCATCACCCTGTTTTTCTTGACCCTCTTCTAAACTGATCTGAGAGAAGGATCCATCTTGATAAATGAGCTTGTATTTTTTTTTAAATGCTAAGCATCCGGTGGTCCAGCATATACTGAAATCACTGATAAAATGCTGCCATTGACTTTCAAAGGCATTGGCTCATAAATAGTTGATAGAACAATCCTAGTAATAAGAGACTACACTGTTGGAATTGTATTCGAGGAAATGTAATCAAAGAGAAGATTGCAACTTTAGCAAAGCCTGCATTTTAAACCAAGTTACTTCTAGGGGTGTTATAAAGCAATTTGTAAGTGAATGGGTCAGGTCTGGTTTCATTCTGGAACACAGCTACTAGGATAGAATATTTAAACTTCTCATGAGAAACCCTTTAACTCAGATGCAGCCATAAAACCTTTAGGGATATACCCAATTATAGAGAGTGAGTTCACACATTATCTCATTACTTTCTGGTGTTACTTTTCAAAGGATAAATTATATTATGGGACTGTCACTATTTAATGAGGAATATTCATCTACCTGTAATTAACAAACACTAACTGCCATCTAATTACATCCCTGATTTTAACATATCTGAGCCCTCTCTAGTCTTGACAGCAAAAGAATTGAAAACAAAGCAGCTTCATAAGTTAAACCTTTCATGTTTTTACTGTTGCACAGCTGTCAAATTAACATAAAAATATATTTTTCCCTATACATTTTCAGAGCACTGGGTGAAGTTTGGCTACATGACTCCAGCCAAAGTTTGTGGTGGCTGTGTGGACAATCCTAAGGCATGTCCCTGAAAATGTAGAGGTTGACATTTCATGCTACAGTAACTGAGGGAGGGAGGGGAATGGATTTCTTTGCTGTTTTTATTTGGTGTCTAACTGTTGGCTGGAAAAATACTTTCCATTTTAGGGATGCATAGTCAGTGGCTGGAAAAATAAATATATACTCAGGTACTGTAGTCATCAATAGCTGGAAGTCCTAAATTAAAAAAAAGTAGGGATATTTATATGGGGCTCAGTCTAGAACTCAATGGGATGTTATGCTGGAGTAAATGGTACAGGATTAAGCACACAAAAGACTATATTCATTCCACTGAGACTGATCCTCCTGTATGCCAGGAAAACCTATTTAGGAAGCAGAAAAAACAGAATTCCAACAACTAAAGTTTCTTCTTAGTCATTCCAGGAGGAAGGAGAGATGAGCTTTGTGCCTCACCTCTTAGGGCACCATTTAGCAAGGACAGGGGCTGCAATCCCCCCTAAGTTTCTTACTATATTAGGACACTATCTCTTGACTCCCTTCTAGCCAGCAGAGAGAACAATGCAGGCTGCTTCCTTTGTTTACTCCTCTCCCCCTCTCCTTCATGCTCACAGGAGTGAAAGGAATGCAGGCTCATCAAGCACAACAACAGACCCAATCAATGCAAACTGCTGCTTGGCTCCTGGCTGAAATCAGGAGCAGCTGGGTTAGAATCAGAGCTCCTGAGATACTAGTTCCAACTTGGCAAGAACAGAACTGCAGCAGCAAATGCAAAACACAAAAGGTGAGCGCTCCCTTGGCTTACTCTTCTCACTTTACCAGCCAGCCAAAAAGCCTATCTATGCTGCTGTTCCTGTCCAGGCTATCCCCCTGGGTGGCTCAGTCACACCGATTGAAAAGGCAATTCACTCTTTGCTCTACCAACAGGAATGCAGAAGTGTATCTGGCAGATCCAATAGCAGGACTGGGAGTTTCTGCAGCACTTTTTGTCAAAATCATTCGGACAAGCAGGCTCAGGGGGTGGTGGGTGGGAAAGGAAGCTTAGAGGATGATTATTGCAGATTTCATCATGATCTGGCCTCAGCCTTATAGGTTGCTGTGTTACAAAGGCTGGAAGGAACCAAGCCGTTCCTGACTCTAGTAGACACAGGGCTGCTCAGGAAAGGGGTGGGGGGAGCTGCTGCCCCATGCACATGGTTAGCCCAACTTAGGATGTTTCAGTGCTTCACTACAAAAGCGGCAGAGCTAAAAAAATGATCACCTGGGATCTTTCCCTGCAGTCAAGAAACAAACATGAGGCATCACACCACAACCATTGCTTAAATTACACTTACAACTTTCCCATTTTTTCCAGATCTCCAATCTTTGGGGGAATGGCAACACCCCAGGGTGGCTACCTATTCTTCCATTTAGTCCCACTTGCCTGTGAAAGTTCTTCCTTTGACTACAATGGGCTTTGGGTCAGGTTACCAGGTAGGGTCCATATAGCCTGCTACACACACAAATGTAGCTCCTCAGTAGGGTGGCAATTGTACTTTTTAATCTAGGACTTTTCTATTTGCATAAACCATTCAATGCACATAAATAAATGCAACCCAAGGTTTTACTTACAAAATTTGTTTGCTATAGATCTATGCTGCTAACTTCCATTATTTAATTATGCTCTTGATAGTGGTTCTTTTTAAAGGTATAGACCAATGTGGGAATAAAGAAATTGTTTAAATAAATAGATTTGGGCTACTTTTGGGCTATGATTTTGTTTAAATGACTGTGGACTGTTGATTCAGTAGAAATCTGGCAATTGTATTTTTGCTGATTTTTTCCTAACCCAGCTGAGACCACGGTGTTATCCATTGCTTTAACTCATCTGTAGTGTTGTTCATTTTTCAGTAATTTACTTTTAAACATTCCTAGAAGATAACTCTCATTCTCCTCTTCACAATTTGGACCATAAGAGATTTAAAAAATAACAATTGTAAAGCTAAGCAGATTTTATTTATCTTTACTAAATATAGTGTACAAGTTATCAAACTTGTATTGTCGAGTCAATATTGGAGCTTTAAGATTTGGGATTGGAAATATCTTGCTGTTGATTGTTCTAAATTTATAAATAAACTTGAAGTATGGCTTTGATATGTTTTTTCTTTATATAAGAATTAGATACACTGTTCCTGTCAGTTAATTTCTAATATATCACCTGCAAAAAACCCAGGGCTGTGTCTAGACTGGCAAGGTTTTCCGCAAAATCATCTGCTTTTGCGGAAAAACTTGCCAGCTGTCTACACTGGCCGCTTGAATTTCTGCAAAAGCACTGGCGATCTCATGTAAGATTGTCAGTGCTTTTGCGGAAATACTATGCTGCTCCCATTCGGGCAAAAGTCTTTTTCTGAAAAACTTTTACACAAAAGGGCCAGTGTAGACAGCTCAGATTTGTTTTCCGCAAAAAAGCCCCAATCGCGAAAATGGCGATCGGGGCTTTTTTTGCGGTAAAGCGCATCTAGATTGGCCAGGGACGCTTTTCCGCAAAAAGTGCTTTTGCGGAAAAGCGTCCTGCCAATCTAGACGCGCTTTTCTGAAAATGCTTTTAACGGAAAACTTTTCCGTTATAAGCATTTCCGGAAAATCATGCCAGTCTAGACGTAGCTCAGGAGTTTTCAGGTGTCTAAGTAGCTTCTGGAATAGAATCATGGTAAAGCTTCCCCCCACTTCTACCAAAATCTCTGCACCTCTCCCCTGCACCTCCCCCCATCTCAAACACATGGTTAGGTCAAAACAACTCTCAGATCCTGAAAACAAACTTGCTTGATAATCAAAACAAACTCACTAGTTCATAGGGGTGACTGAAAAAGTTCAGGCCTTCCACACTTGTCTCCAGGACCCTGGACTACTCCCCATCTTTGCAATACAACTTCCTCTGCAGTCACTTTCCCATTGGCTACCAAGCGTCCACCCACCAAGTGTTTCACTGTACAGAACCCCAAATCAGGAGTGCTTCCTGGATCACTATTATCGTTACCTTGTAAGGATGGCTTCTGTGGATTGGGCAGGAGTATTGCTTCAGACTGAAAGAGTGAATATTTTGCCATCCCTGATCACAGATTGTCTTCTGTTAATGGAGTGAAGAAAAAGGTGCAGTAAAGATGTATTGCTTATTTCCATATGGGTACTGATTGAGAGAGAATCCACTATGGAACATAAAGTAGGTAATACAGTAATTCCTCGCTTAACGTGCCCGCTTAACACGTTTTCGCAATAGCACGATTTTTTTGGGGAACATTTTTCGAACAACACGACCCATCCCCGCAATAACACCATTTCCCCTAGGGCCGGCCAGTGGCTGGCAGCAGTGCAAGGCTTCTCCTGCCTCCCTGCAAAGTGGCAGCGGTTCTCCACGTGCCGTGCTGTTCCCTGGCGGCCCCCTCTGGCCGGATGCTTCGCTCCCTCTCCTCCGTCCCCCCGCTTGCAGCAGGTGGCTGGGTTTCCCCAGCTCGCCGGTCACCGGCAGCTGTGCGGGGCTTCGTCTGCCTCCTTACAAAGCAGCGGAGGTTCTCCGCTCACCGCGCAGTTCCCCGGTGACCCCCTCTGGCCAGATGCCTTGTGTCCGGCCAGAGAGGGTCACCGGGGAACGGGGTGGCGAGCAGCAAACCTTCACCGCTTTGTAAGAAGGCAGAGGAAGCCCCACGCAGCTGCTGGTGACTGGCCAGCTGGGGAAACCCAGCTGCTGGCTGCAAGCCTCCTCCCCTGTCCTTCCCTTCCCTTTTCCAGAGCCAAACACCACCCTTCCCTGCTATAACCTAGTCCCCTTTCTCCCCCAACCTTATGTCCTGGTCCCAGCTACTAACAAGTGTAGGCTGAAGCTGCGAGCGCACGTGCTCTTGAAACACAACCCCAACCTTTTCCATTATTATCAATGGGAAAAATTGACCCCTGCATAATATGTTTTCACTTAACACGATCATTTTCTGAAACGTATCTACCATGTTAAATGAGGAATTACTGTACAATATTTAATCAGGGGACAGATTCACTACTAGCATAAACAAGATTTTAAAAAGCAATGTGTTAAATGCTTTCCCCAGACAGCCATATTGAAGGGTTCAGCTTTATCTCTTATCAGCTAGCATACTTTCCAGTGCTTACAAACCCCACTTGAATCTCCTTATACACAGAAAGGTAAAAAGATGAACCTTTAGTTTTCTTATTGTTGGTGACTGAAGTATGTTGAGCAATTACAGCACAGAAATCTCTGTTTTCACTCTTTTGAGCCCAGCTCAACTGTCCCTTACAGGACACCATAGAAACCCTTTAAAATCTAAGAACCAAATTTTCTACTAGGATAAATGGGCTTGGCTCTTCTGAACTCAGTGGCATTTCACTCATGGATGTCAGAAGAAAACTTGAATTAATAGGCTTACATCTCTGTAAATGAGGGCAGAAATTGTCCCTTCCGGTATACCTTTGAAACTCCTGTATTTCAAATCAAAGTTGGAGTTCAGTTTTAAGGATTAATTCCAGCAACTTCTTTCTGCTCTTGGATATTTTATCTGATTGGACACCATTTGAAGTCCATGCCAAATGAAAATTCAGACAAGTAAAATCTCCATGTTTTACAGAGGGAATAAGTTCTGATAAGGTGCCTCTGCAGACTGATCAAATTATAATTATCTCTAATTAGCAGTCCTGGAAATGGTAAGAGTCTTTACCTGCACACCAGTGGCACTCTGTAGCTCAAGTTGCACTCCTGAAAGAAAATGAAAGAAATCCTTTAATAATTTTTCTTCTTACAATCCAATTCTAACTCCTCAATAAAAGCAAGGAGTATGCTCTATAGCACAAATGGGGGCTGTAGTTTGGATGATGTGCTTTGATCCTTGATTACCAAAGTGCCAGACCATGATCAATACTTTCATTATAATTTTGCTCAAAATAGAATGAGTTAGGAGTGCTTTTCTGGCTATTTTATTAGCTTGTAATAAATCTTTACTTTATGTAGTTGTCATTTATTGTGATTGAAAGATGCCTAAGGAACATATATCTTTACCTAACTAGGGCACTGTAGTTCCAATGCAAAGAAATCTGATGCACAGCAGCAGCGTGTACTAACTAGCTCATCTCTCATAAGGACTTGAGCCTGAATTGTGCAGAAGCCCAGGTCCTGAGAAGTATTTACTGCGGCACCAAATAGGCATTAGGAATTTGGGCCTCAGAGCTTACTGAGTAGTGCTGAACTTGCTAGAGTCACATTTGTGGGGTTTAAAAACAACTTTTAAAAATGTGTAGTCCTGTAGCATCTTGGAAACCAACTATATATATATATACACACACAGGGCTTGACAATTAGGGCAATCTACTTGCCTGTGGCGAGTAGATTTTAGCCTGGCGTGGTCGCGTAGCACAGTCAGTGCATGCTCAGCATGCGATTTCGCGCGGCTGGCGAGCAGGGCTCACCGCTGCTTGGCAAGCCCTGTATATATTGTATCATGAGCTTTTGTGTGCAAAACCCATTTATTCTCATCTGAGGAACTAGGTTTTGCCCACGAAAGCTCATGATACTATATATATATATATATATATTTTGTTAGTCTCTAAGGGTATGTCTACACTAGAAAGTTAGTTCGAACTAACGGACGTTAGTTCGAACTAACTTTCCTATGCGCTACACTAGCGCTCCGCTAGTTCGAATTTGAATCGAACTAGCGGAGCGCTTAGTTCGAACTAGGTAAACCTCATTTTACGAGGACTAACGCCTAGTTCGAACTAGCTAGTTCGAACTAAGGGCTGTGTAGCCCTTTAGTTCGAACTAGTGGGAGGCTAAGGCTTCCCAGGTTTCCCTGGTGGCCACTCTGGCCAACACCAGGGAAACTCTATGCCCCCCTCCCGGCCCCGGACCCCTTAAAGGGGCACGGGCTGGCTACGGTGCCCGTGCCAGGTGCAAGCCTGCCAGCACCCAGCTAGCAGACCCTGCACCTGGCACGGCACAGAGCCACCCACCCGATGCCCCCCAGCCCACCCCCTCTTGCCGGGACCAGGCTGGCGGCTCCCGGGAGCTTGCCCTGGACCGCAAGAGGCGGGCACCTTCCTGGGCTAGTGCGGACATCGTGGACCTCGTCCACGATCTCTGCACTAGGCACAGGAAAGTGGCCGTCTAGGGCAGGAGAGCTGCCAGCCTGGCCACCCAGGACCAGGTGTGCATGAAAATCAAGGGGGTCCACTGAGACCCCCGACCCTGAGCCCTGAGCTTACAATGGCCGTACTGGGTCAGACCAAAGGTCCATCTAGCCCAGTAGCCTGTCTGCCAACAGCGGCCAACCCTAGGGACCCTGGAGGGGATGGACCGAAGACAGTGATCAAGCCATTTGTCTCGTGCCATCCCTCTCCAGCCTTCCACAAACTTTGGGCAGGGACACCACTCCTACCCTCTGGCTAATAGGACTCCATGGACCCAACCTCCATGACTTGATCTCACTTCCCTTTAAACTCTGTTCTAGTTGTAGCCTTCACAGCCTCCTGCAGCAAGGAGTTCCACAGGTTAACTATTTGCTTTGTCAAGAACAACTTTCTCTTACTAGTTTCAAGCCTGCTACCCATTCCTTTCCTTTGGTGTCCTCTAGTCCTTCTTTATGGGAACTCATGAAGAACTTTTCTGAATGCACCCTCTCCACCCAACCCCTGCTTTTAGAGACCTCTATCCTGTCCCCCCTCCGTCTCCTCTTTTCTAAGCTGAACAGTCCCAGTCTCTGTAGCCTCTCTTCATCTGGGACCTGTTCCCAACCCCTGATCATGTTAGTTGCCCTCCCCTCTCCCAGCCTTTCTCTTCCCCTCTCCCACCTCCTTTTCCCAGTCTCCCCCAGTTTTTTTCAATAAAGACAGAGTCAATGTTGGAAGAAACGTTATCTTTATTTTGTACATCAATAAGAAGGGGGGCTAGGGAAGGGTAAGTGGAAGGAGGTGAGGGAGGAATGGGGTACGAGCCCCCGATGGGGAGGACTGGGCTGGCTCTGCGGGCTTCTGGGGGTGGAAGCTCTCCTGCAGCCCCCCAATTACTCCCT